TATCACGTTACTTCCGAGATAATCGAGAAAATGTGAAATAAATTGAAGGAATAATGTATAAAAAAATATGTCTATTAAACTATTTGTACTTATGCATTGAAAAAAGACATTACAAACAATCATAAAAAAAGTTCTCCTGCCACATTCCGATCGTATTGTTACCGTTTCATTCTTCTTTTATTCGCGTTGCGATGTGAGTGTTTCTCACAACTTTCGTAGCTATGTGCGCGATTTTTTATGTCGTTGCGATCTTGCTGATTGCAGGATTGGTGCTTTATGCAATTTTGGTGATGTACGGGTTGGTTTAATGACGACAGGAAGTAAATCGGTTCGTATGATATCTCGGCGAATTGCGACCCGTGATACACAGTTTAATTAAACTTCCTGAACAGCGTAACGACGTACGGAATTACTAATTGACATATACGTAGAGATTTAGCGGTTACGCACTCTTGTGGATGTGTCGCTTCTCCGAATCTGTGGATCCATCATCCATCGAGGTCGGTGTGGTGGACGGAGGACTCCCGATGCTCGGCGACACACCATTGTCGCTGTCAACCGTAAAATAACGATGTTTCGAGCGCTGAAAACGACGAATATCGCATGTAAGAGGGGAGGTCACGGATAAGTTGGATATGTGTATACAGGAAGATTCTGTAAAAATAATAGGACGATGTCACGCAACGAGATAACTTTTTTTAACGACGTTATCTCGTAGAAAGCCGGAAGCCGGAGAATCCAAAGTCGATTACTTTCAGCAAGTCGCGTCGCATTCTTATGGTCCGTGAAGACTTCAAAGTATTCAAAGCATCTCGTGAATTATTCGTCGTCGACGATTCGGATGGCTTCGAGTCGCCGGAAGACGACCACGCGCGCGAGGAAATGAGAGGCGGTTACGCGAGCTCGTGGGTTTCCGGATCGAGCCACGGTCGGAGTTATACGCCTCAATCTTGCCGAGTGCACGAATGGTCGATCTCGTTCAGGTAAATACGGCGCAATGTCAATGTACACAGATAAACTAGAGTGGCGGATTATGACCACTATCGTGTGATGAGAATTACGCGAGAGGCCCGCTCCTTGGAGCGAGGCCAAAGAGATCTGCCATAAGGAGAGCACTTGTCTGGTGGTCATCAGCTTTCAGAGGGTTTATACGAGTAATAATGTTCGTACGCGCAAGAGGGATAAAGAGAGAATACGGCTAGAGGATACAGCAAAGACGTGAGGGATTTGTATAATCGGGCGATAAGTTGTGTCGCGACTCGAAATTGAAACGAGCGCTGAAAAGCTTTCCAGAGGAAACCTAATTTCAACTATTAATCTTCCCCCCCTCTCCCCCCCCCCGATGTCGTTTATATGTGAGTTCATTTTAGATGTAACATTTAAACGTATAACATTAATTATTTCTTTTTTGTGAGATTTACCTTCACTGCACCGCTTTTAATTAAAGAAAGGGTTATAGAAAAATCGATTATAAGGGTAGAAAGGCGAGAAAATTAATTAAAACTAATTGGAGCAATTATGTTCAATCTAAGTTGAAAGGCGTGGACGTGAAAAAGACTTGTTAATCGTTTGATTGCTGAATTGCTCTCTGATCTGAAAATTGCTCAATTTCTTAATCTTTTTATCGAGATCAGTTTAATTAAAATGACTTTAAAGATCTTAATTTAAAAAAAGCTGTTTTAAAGAAATAAATATATTATACATAATGTACAAAATAAATATCTCCCAATCTCTTTTTAAAAACTAGTAGTCAGTTCTTTGAACTGACAGATATATATAATTACATATATACTAGTACATATATAATTTTTTAATTAGTAAATATAACAATAAAACAGCAAAACAAATTTACGGTTTTAATAAGTATATATAATATATAAATGTCGATAAATGTATATTTGTTCCATTACTTACCTTGTAACGAAGTATATCAGAACCGAATGCAGGGGTAATATAGGTCGAGACGATCGAAAGCAATAGGAGATAGAAGGTTGCGAGGCAGGGCTTTAGTCGCATCTGAAAAGTACATCAAAAATTAGATCACATCGTCAGGTCCATTCTTTTATACCGTTTGTTTTATTGTTATTGTTTCTCGCAGTAAATAAAGAATACCTTACAAACAACAGAGTTCGATAAAGATATAATTAAATATGATATTGATTACTTTGCTATTGATTGTTCTCTTTTATAGACAAGATAGATAAAGAACAAAACAGACAAGATAAAAATAAAATTCACTTAATTAAGAAAGAAAATTTTTATTAAGAAAATTAATCCTGTGCAATGCAAGAGAGATAAGTTATTAAATTATTGCGATCATTATATAATAAAATTAATAAATAAATTTATAAATAAAGAATTAATAAATAAATTTATATAGAAGTTTTAACTAGATCCTTTTAATGTATATTTTGGAATTTATATTAATAAAAAACTATATATTTTTATATTATAACTTATTTTTGAAAATAACTTGTTTTTCTTTTTAACTTTTTATTTTCTATCTAAAAATGTAAGTATTTTCTCAGACTTTATTAATTTAATTTTGTTTAATTTAAAATTATGGTAGATCAGATAGTTATAAAAAAATAAAATATAAAGCGTATTTGTACACACATGTAACAAAACAAAGTATTTTTCTATCTCTATAAATAAAATAAATTTTAAACTCTGTGTGTGTGTGTGTGTGTGTGTGTGTGTGTGTGTGTGTATACACTGTGTGTAGTACAATAGTATATTGCTCCATTTCTGTCCTGAATCTAATCCCATTTAATACCACAAAAAAGTTATACTTTTTCCAATTATCTATCTGTTCGTAATTTATATTCTTCTAATCCACTGAGGTTACCAATTCTTTCTATATACATATATGTCACAGAAAGAAAGGGATTGGGGGAGGGGTGGAAATCACTGCGATTTTGTATGCCTGGAAATTTACAGTGCTATATTCCGGAGACATTTACATGGTAGAGGTTGGCCCATCTTAAATCTTCCGATTAACTTCGAAGCGCGGTTGGTCCATATTTTATACTCGCCACGCAGAACTTGGAAATTTACCATTAAGAATGATATCTGTGTACGAATTGCAAGATACCATATGCAAGCGCGTACGATTTTCACCGAGATACGAAAATATATTGATTGCAACACAAAGCATAGTTGGCATGAATTTATTGAATATGAAATTCTATTGTGAACTGACAGATATTCTTTTTGTTTTTATAAAACAATAATTTCTCTCTTAAGAAATATTATTTGTAAAAATCTTAATATTAATGAAAATTGTCGTACGTCGATAGATTATTTTAATATATATATATTATTTTAATGTTTTATATCACATATTATATATCGAATAAAATCTTTTTAATGAAAGATAGAACGAGAAGGAGCAGGATATATCTTATCATGCTCAGACAGAACAACGGTTCTCTTAAAAAATAATGAATCTATAACTGTTTGAAATAATATTATATATTTTCTTTCCTTTACCAAAAAGATATAAGCTAATAAAAGAAAAAGAAATGACGAAAAATGATGATAAATTCTACATTTTTTTCTAATAGCTAATTCGATGTAGTAATTTTTTTGAATGATTTTCTCAAATTGTCTTGTAGTACTTAATTCTCTTTATTTAAGATATTCATTAGTTTTAATATCATTTTATTTTCTTAAAAAAATACTTGTGTAACATAGATTTCTTTCACCGTTTCAAACGTTCGATCGATAGTCTTTCAAACAGATGTAAAATGTGAAGCTATCGTTTGCGAACCACTGCTGTCGGTCCTTGAACGATTGCTGATGATAGAACACTGCAGTCTTTTTGGATGGGTCATTTAGTTTGCCTCGGTATGCCGAGCAGTTGGATAGAAACATAGGGGCATGTTGACAATACAAGGAGGCCTCAGTTCTTCTTTGATCTCGGCCTGGTTCGCATGTGTTTCTTCATATAATTTTCGAGAACAAACCAAATAGATTAGAAATCCGAAGATCTTTGATTTTCTATCAGATTTTAAACATTTTTTGTGAATATTGTGTATAATTCTTTAAAAAAAGGTATTAGCATTCTTATATACATATATAATTTTTTGTATATAATTTCCACAGTTGTTATTCAACTTATTTTGCATTAATTTCCTTCATTTATTATATGTTATAAAAATTCATATTACTATGATATCATTTTAATCATTATTTTCTTTTATATGACTTTCTTATCATTATAAACAATTTTTGACATTTTTTTCTTAAAAATAAACTTCTATTTACTTGATAATCAGTGATTGCTTGAAAGAGCCTTTAGAAATCAATTTTAAAACGATGATAAAATAATTTAATTGGAAATAACATATTTATTTATTATTATTATTACTTATAAATTCTAATTATTATATTAATTAGAAATAGTTTTTCATCATTTTCTTTATCCCAATTATCCATTTATATCGCATTGAACAATTTTTATTTTGTCTTCAAACCTGACGATTATTCGGTTGCAGATCTCAGTGGAGTACTTTGCAAGGCTAATCTTCGAAGAGCGACGAATTTCGCGGGAAGAATGATAGTGTACTTCTTACTCGTCAGTTGCATCGGGCCGCTTGCCGTTCGCAAAGAGTCGTTTGTCTCGGCAGCACCACGGGATGGGTACAGCTACCCCGAACAGACGACGACCTCCACCGCCACAAGTCTGAACGGGGGCGCACAGGACGCGGCCGCGAGCATCAATAATCCGGAATCCGCCTGCCCGTGCTTGACATCGGTCAATAGCTCGACGATCCCCGGACAATCGGACTGGATGACGCAGCAAAGGCGGCAGCATCTCGAACAGCTCTACACGCAGAACGTGTTGCTGCACGGCATGGTGTGCTCGTGTAACGTAGCCCTGCGCGGCGCCCCGATGAGGGATGATTACCGTTACACGGTAGGTATCGGTGCGCACAAGTTGCACACGAGGGCCGTCATGTGGAACGACGCGAGGAAGATCTGTAACGAGGAGGGCGGCTACCTCGCCATCATCAATTCCATTGCTGAGGAGCATGTAAGTCACTAATCCCATCGCTGAGCGATTATTAATTACGTAACACGCCACATTTGACTCTCACGATTCGAATTTTTTTCGTACAAGCATTTATTTATGGGACACCCAGAGGATATTGCGGTAACTAACGAAGTAGTTAAGACTTGTAACTACATCGTTACAAGAGGCTAATTAAAATGTTACATGCCATAAAATGTCTGTTGATTTTTCAGATACTGTTGGATATATTTAATCACTCTGGACCAATCAAAGATGCGGCATATGCCAATGAGGCTTTCTTGGGTATACACGATCTTTACGCGGAAGGCGAGTGGGTCACGGTGTTGGGTGATTCATTGGCGAAAACCGGTTATACCAGGTGGAGCGATAAGTGGGGCGGACAACCTGACAACGGAGGCGGCAAACAGCACTGTGGTGCTTTAATGAAAGAGGGTGGCATGGACGACGTCGCGTGTGAAGTCCCATTTCCATTCTTCTGTGAACTACCGCTGATGCGGGTTTTACAATGAGAAAAAAGCGACGGCTCGGTGCACCTGTAAAGATTAAGCATCGTTCGCATCAAGTTTACATGCCCTTGTACACTACATCTTAGCACTCGCGCATTGTAGGATGGCGGTATTCTGCAGACATCATCCATGGATGGTCTGTCTCGAATATAGAAAAAGTTTTCTTCCTTTCTTCTCATGTAATATCTTACTAGAAACTTCAAGTTTCCCTCTGTCATTCTCTGCGATTGAACAACCACCAATGAAATGTCTGATTTGTTTTATAAATGTATATGTTTGCAAATGTAACATTTTTCTAAATTTTCTTAAATTCATGAAACAATCTTTGCTCTATTTTTTTATCTACATGATTTTTTGTAAAGATATAAAAAATAAATAAAACTTTTTAATTACATGGATGTATTATCAATGTTAAAATTAGCGATTCTAATTAGTTGCTTGTTTCCACACGGTACGGTTGTATTCCTGAAGTTTGGACATCGCAAGTTTCCGTGTTGTAATACAACAGTACTATTACGCGTTGAGTTATGTTGTACGAGTTTACAGTAGAATGAGATCCTGCGTTACAGTGCTACCGCAAAGGTTGCAACAATATTTATGTGAATGGTTTTAAACAATTAATGATACGTTAAGCTGCTTTTTGTTAATTAAATCGGAGATCAATGTCCGAATTTTTTTTTTTATGAAAGCTTTAACCCGCCGTATTACATTCAAGATATAACTTACGAATGCAATTTATAGGAAATACAACGCACACGTTACATTTCAGAAAATAAAAAATTTATAAAGGCATTGATAAAAAACAAACGATGCAAGTCGATATTATGAATGATATAAGATAATTAGTATTTACGATGCGGCAGTAGTTCCGGATTTTTTATTTTGTTAAATCCCCGTTAAATTGCGTTCAAAATTGAAAAGCATGTGGCAAATAAAGATGAAACTAATTTCTGACACAATGTTAAATTCGTGTTGAAAATTATAGCCATATAGAAATCTAATGTCAAATGGCGAATGGTAATTGCTATTATATATCATTTATTGAAACATTAAACACGAATAATTATGCAATAAGCTAAAATTATTACTAATAGATTGTATATGCATGAATATTATTATCTAATATATATTATAGATTTTATGTACTTTGTAATGCCCTATTTAGTTATTACGATTGTAAATCAATATTTTTTATTTTTTAATTTACTTCATATATTTAGATAATTTTTTTATATTTTGTATAGATATAAAATAAATCGGGGATATAAAATATTAAATAAAATACATCTTTTACTTTTTTTATATATTACATTTTAAATTTCGGAATCAAACAAAAAATGATATTTTAAATCCGTTACTAATTCGTGCAAAATATGAAATATTTTGAGATAATATTTTTTTTCAAAATACATAAAATAGCAAGAGAAAGATTTTCATATAATATTGAACACGGGATATTGCATACTAAATGGCTGATATAAAATATGAAACTCTCTGAATGTAATATATACATAAGCATTGAGTAAAATTTTTTCTTTTGCCTATTTAAGACAAAAGGATTATTTAGCAATTCTGTAACTGGGCAATTTGATATTTTCATCTATACAATACTACATTATGTTACAGTTTGGCTGATTCGACAACTACGAATGTATAGTAAGTCTGTTTCCATTCTTTTGTGTGTTACTAATGACGTAAGTTTCGACGTAGTGAAACGTCGGTTTAATGAATCTCAACAAGATTGGCCTTTCTTTCGCTAAATCCAATTTCTTGCTACATGAGAGGGAAACAGCAAGTAACTTTTGACCAACTTTCTTTAGCATTATATAATATCTTATGCAGCATTGTCGCATTAACGCCTAATGGTAAATACTTTGATTAATATTGAATTGATTTTTCTTTTAACCGTAATGTATCGTTAACAAAGTTTGAAGTACAAAAATATTAAAAATTTATTAACATTTAAATATAAATATAAATATAAATATAAATATAAATATGATGAATTAATTTTGAATAAGAACAGCATGCTAAAATCTGAAATTTATTTCTGAAAATATATATTAAAAATTGTGATAAATAATAAAGAAATATAGATTTAAAATATTAAGCTACATTGATGGAACATGCAGATTCGTTCTTTTAGTTTTATTCTAAAACATCGTCATGTTGTTTAATAATATTTAATTTATAAATTTTAATAATTAAAATGTTCATTCTATTTTTATTTTTCTATATGCACATGTAAACGGCAAATTCTGAGCAAATACAGCATTCCATTTAATATCGATGTGCATTCGAGATACGCAATAAACGTTAACTTCTGGTTTTTGGACGCGCATAGCGTTCGAACCTATAAATTTTACAATTACAATCATAGCAAATATCACACACGCCGAAAAATGAATCGTAATCCATTTTTATCACTAACAAGTACCATCATAAAATTAATGTTATAAATGAGATGATGGAATAATATTACAATATGTAATATGAACAATGTCGTCGCTCATTCTTTTGCACGATTTGCATTTAATGATGCTAGAGGTTGCCGTAGAAAATGTAAGTTAATATTTCTCTAAATCCATTTCTGTAATGACTAAAACTAAATATAAAATATTTTAATATCTAAATTCATTTATTATTAGCGATAGCTAAATAAATTTTGATTAATTATTAGAATGTAATTATCTGATTGTAATAATAGTTATTTGTCCCTTGGACCACGGCGTTTGACAAAGTTATCTTGAAGAAGACGATCGTCATGTTCCGTATGCTGGACGAAGATTGGACGTCGCTATCACCAAATCGATGCGATTGTCGTCCTTATCAAGGCTCCAATTATGAAAACGAGAAATTCTACGGTGGTAGATCCGTCGTCTTTTCCGTGCCTGCAAATTTCTTCGAGAAAGAAGCGAGTGGCATCGATGTCCAGTTATACGTTCAGAGACAAGTGTGCAAGGATTTTGAGATGGCCTCGCGCCAGAGGATCGGCTTTGCCGCTGTGCCAGTTGACGGTTTTCTGAACAGCATCGCCAAACAGATTCGCGAGCGGAACGAATTGGCGGAACACTTGTCGGACTTCTATAAACGGCAGATTATCTCGAGGTGATAGCGCCGAAAATCGAGGAGCTGCCGATTGTTGATGTTGGGAGAGGAAACTTTTTATCTCGTCGAAAGCTCTCTCCGATCTAGCTGTCCCATCGCGTTTGTTTCGGATTCATTCGTTGGACCGTAATCGGCCATCGAAAAAAAGTTGCCACGTTACAAATGTGTTATCATCTAATATATCATCAAAATATTGTCAAAATACATTATTATCGTTATATTTTTTTCTTCATGGTAGCATCGTACGACGTTACTTTTAATACTATTTTTTAATATATTTAATATCTTTAATATTTTTAATAATATTATAATAAAATATATCTTAGATTTTAGAATCTTAAGCGTCTTGAAGAAAAAAGAATGATTGGCTGGAAAATCCATAGTATAGCGTGCTTCCTTTGAAGTATTATAAGTACTTTCTTTTTCGAAGGAAATACGCTTATAGTGAGGGATCCTATGTAATATCAAAGACTTAATAACATGGTGAATATGTATATATTTAAGGTCCACAACGGGAACGTACAGTCTGCTAGACGAGAACTTCCGGAATACAGCTGCCACGATTTCGCTGTACATTCGGATTAGTTATCTCGGCAAATGCCTCATAACAGATATTACGCGAGTCAAAAGTATACGCGAAGCGTTTTACACTCGGGGAGAGTCGGACGAGAAACAGCCATATCTTTCTCGGCAGCTGACGTCGAAGGAGCTTCAAAGCGATTGCTGGGATGACGACGGTTTGCTTCGAGTTCCCCACAGTCGTTTAATATGCCGCTGTGAAGAGCTCGTTAAAAAGGAGGCTGCGGATTTAGCCAGTAATTGATTCAGTTGCTTTAACAGGATGCTATTTAAAAATGTTTATTTTTCGGAAAATAGGGAAAAATATCTTACTTAATTCCAAGTAGTAAAATCCTCTTCTAAACATAAATTAAATTTTCTTTTAAATTAAATAATATCTTAATGCTATTTTAATGATTAAAGTAAGACTTTTTTACGTACAAAATATATGTCTACATAAGATAAACAATAAAAGCCTGCTTTTGGACTAAATCTCTTTAAAAGAAGCGTTTCACTATTCTTATGGGTTTACCCTAGAGCTATTAAACATTTTCGAAAAATTCAGATAAGAGATTTAGTCGTAGATTTTGTCTAAGAATAAACAATGTGATTGCAAACGAGTGCACGGATCGATATATAATAAAGCATCCGTTGGTGCACCAACGGATGCTTTTTTTATTATAAAAACTATGGATGCTACTGCAATTAAAAAAGGAAAATCATTTGCTGATGCAATTACAGATTTTGCTGCGATTTCCGTTCCAAAGATTGCTGCGAATACTGACGCAATTAAAAGAAAAATACCTTCAGATGCAGCTGTAGACTCTATTGCCATTTCAAAAATTTCAAAAGTTATTGCTGATGCTGCCATAATTAAAAGAGAAAAAATATCTGCAGTTGCAAATTCTCCTGTGATCTCTGTTGCACAAATTGATGCAAACGCTATTAAACTAAAGAAAAATACCTTCAGATGCAGCTGTAGACTCTGTTGCCATTTCAAAAATTTCAAAAGTTATTGCTGATGCAAACGCTATTAAACAAAGAAAAGTACCTATTGGTGCAACTGCAGATTCTACTGCAATTCCCATCGAAGCGAAAATTGCTGCGGACGCTGATTCTGCAATTTCATTTGCAAAAGCTGTAAATGCCACAATTATAAAAGAAAAAACACCTGTTTATTATGAAGCTTTAAACGACAGGATAAATGCAAATACAGGTGTACATATAAATCCGCATAAAAAAATTATGAATAATCCGCATAAAAGAATTATGAATAATCCAATAACAGCAAATAATGATAAAGGAATAAAGAAAGATCAAGGCGCTATTCGTTCGATATTCATCAATTCTTTAATTAAAAGTGAATATAATTTGAGAAATTACATTGCTCTAAAAATTTTTTTCCATATTTTTTCTTTCTAATATTCTGTATGTTTCTAAAAAGAAAAAAAAAAAATCAGTCATAGAAAAAAATTTAACGTTTATTTATTAAATTTTATTTTTTAAATTGTGAGATTGTTAAATATAATAAAATATTTATGGATACATGAGAAAAATACGGAACTTCTTTTCTGCAGATGTCAAGGCAGATGCTGCTGCGATAGCGAAAACGAAAGGACATGCGATAAAGGACAACAGAGGAAGGGCTTTCAAGAAAGCGTTCTCGGCACCGAGCAAATCGAAGGGTGGAAGAAACACGGCGACAATAGGTATCACGGAAAGAGGAAAGAGAAACTCTCCTCCTCCGTCACCTTCATTCTCCCGTCTGCAAACGTATCCTTTGTGCTGTCAATTGCAACCACATCTAACTTGTTTCACCGATTGCTTCGACGTTTCACCCTGTTATTGTTATTGGACAGCCTGTCCTCTTCAATTGTTTTACGGTACGTAAACGAGTTTGCGCATACCATGGATTGTATCACTTACGGCAACAAGTTAATAACTAGCGCTGGTTAGATAATTGGCAAGGCAACTATAAATTGATCCTTTTAGATTCTCAAAATTTTAATTTTCAAACGTCCATTTGTGATTTAATATTATTTATTTTATGTTTTTTTTATTTCCTTTTTTCCGTTTTTATACTTTTCTATCTCTTCCATTTTTAAAAAGTCTCTTCAGTATTTGAATAGAATTTGAATTGCTGACTTGGATAATACAATACTGTCAATAATATTACTTAGTATCTTTTCTTTTAGATAAAAGTTTTTTCTATTTCATTCTTAAACTCGCATCGGCAATCCTAAAAACATTAACTAAATCCTAAATATATACTAAAGATTGACCGACTTTCTTTGAATGTCTTATCAATAAATGTAACATTGATTGCAACTATTTTCTGACTTGCTTGAGTATATATTCAAAGGTTCTAATTAAATCGCTTACTTTGACAATATTGTATTTAAGATTGTATAAGATATTCAAATGTAAAATTTGTTAATCGCAACTTTGAAAATTTTATTTTGTCATCAAAAGTAAAAATAGCTCATTACTATGCTCATTATTATACTTATTAATGTCAATTCTATGCTAATTAATAAATAATGTACATCTGTGAAAAGAATCTGTAAAAGTTGGCTTTATTTGTAAGTTGATTATTGTTTCTATAATATTGTCTACTGTCTTAATTTTTGAATATGCTGGATTTATGAATGCTCTCAAACAAACTGATTCGATTATTGCTTTTACACGCAACTAAGCAAAAAGATTACTGAATTTTTAAAACTTACATATACGACAATTTACGAGAGTATACGAAGTGAAAGTCTACGTGTACATCTTTATTACTCTACATCTTTTTAATGTGTGTACGACTATTTATCATTAAACTCATAAAACTCATAAAAGTAAACGGCGTATACGCTTTAGATATCGAGAATAATGGCGTGTTTAAACGCGATGAGATTAATTTTTGCAACTAAGTATCATGAATAAAGCAAATTGACAATACATATTTTCACTTGCTTAAATTGTATTAAAATTTCATCTGTTTTTTAATCTGAAAGTTTAAATAAAAATAAAAATGTAAATATAAAATAAATCTTGAAATGTTTTTTAATTACTAAATGTCAAAACCGGTAGCGATTTTATCGATGATACGTGATATGCATTTTTATTCTCATAAATTGCAATACTAATAATCTTTAATAATACCAATATTAAATATCAAATATCGTTATATAAACGATTTTTATAAAAAAATTGTCGGTATTAATTCATATAGTATTAATATTGTCAAAAAGTAAACGTATGCCATTCAACTGTCATACCAGTAATTTACCATTTAACAATCGATGTTTATAAAAGAAAATAATAATGGAAAATGATATTTATAATACCGGTATCAATTCTCGTGTTCAATAAAGAATTAACAGTTCATATCCAAATTATAATAATTGACAAGAATATTAAGTGAATAATAAAAGTATCAATTAAATAAAATTTATGTTTACTATGAATCAAGTGAAATCGATGCATTTTTAAGGAAATATAGTCTCTTCTCTCTTCTAATTTTGATGATCCTTTTGTATATTTGATAATATAGATCAAAATAAACAATATAAGAAAAAGTATATATTTAGATATATGCTCAATTAAGTATATTAAGAAATTGAAATCTTTTTAAAATAAAATCGATACATGTTATACATAAAGTCAAAGCAATAAAAAATATTTTAAAATAATAATGTATTTAATAATAATACATTTGAATTTATTAAAAATGTCACAATTGTCAAGATTTCTTTTATTTCTAATTGTTGTATGATGTCAAAGGTTATTAAATAATATATTAAATGATATAGTTCAATAAAATAAAAAGAATTGAGAATCTCACGCTTCATAATACTTCTTGTATTAAGCCGTGAAAGTGTTAATTATCTATCTGAAAATCTACGGGAAAGTATTTTAGATTTCTCTTTTCAATTGTACGGAAACTGCTCTACCATACAATCATATTATTCTTGTATTATTTTAATACGCATAAATATGCTAAACAAATATATATAAAATATAATTATGCAAATAATATGATAGCTGATAATAAAAAATGTATCAATTTTTCAACTGTTAAATCATTATAAACATATCGTTATAAACATAAAAGTGTAACAAGTAAAAGTGTTTTAATTTTTGGAAATAAAATGAAATCAAACATTATCAGTAGACAAGTTAGGTAACAGTTTATTACTTAAATGTTTGAAATCCAATATTTCAAATCCGCTAATATTCCCTCACTAATAGGGGATTAATGTTTCATCATGCTGTATTGAGATTTCAGCAACGTCGAGAATCATTTATAAACCGTATGATAATTTGATAGAATTGAGTAATCCAATTTTTTTCACAAGCAATGAAATAAAATTCCGTTATGACTGTAACCCCAGAATATTGCCAACCTCTCTGGTTTGTATTTTATTGTATGCAGTGGTATTGCGTTGTTATGTAACGTAAATGCGATATGTTGACACCGTCGATCGGCGCCACAAATAACCGGACGTTCACAAAAATTGTGAGAGAATAGAAAACCGGGGAGCAGCGAAAGGTTCCGGTTGATGGACAAGATATGTCTTTGGTTGTGATAGAACGCCGCCCCGCAAATCAAGGCGCACGGAGATTTCTCCTACCACTAATGGTAGGCTGGTCTAATGTTAAGCGTTACTTTATATGTGTTAGCGTTACGGGCCTCTTTATAAACGATGCTGCTGTATGATATTCCGAAGATTGTATTGAACGTGTTCGAAGAGAAGCAGCATCTTTTATTCTATCTAATTCACATCTGACAGTTTGCCGGACATTTGTGTATATTAGATCTAAGTAAGTATAACAAGTGTGGTGATAATTATTAATAATATGAATTTCAATCATGCCATTATGTGTAGTAAAAAATTTCGAAATATACAATAAAAAATTTTTAATTATTAGTATTTTTATACAATTATGTTGAAGAAGAGCAAGTTATCAAGCCTAAAATTATTAAAAAATGATATTAGATATTGGAATATGTTGATGATATTAATTTTATTCCGTAGAATTTTTATACTGTTTAACTCCTTAAGACTTTGATAATTTTTAAAAATATTATTAGACATTTATTGAAAATTTTTAAATTTCCTAGCCTTCCTTCCTTTTTATTGATTTATACAAGATATTAAAATTTATATATAATTTTCTATAATTTTTATTTTTAAAACTCTAAATTATACGCTTGTTAAATTAATATTAAATTTATTTGCTAAAAACATGTTAAATAAATATAATTCATCAATATTTATTTTTTAAATATTTTTAAAAATATTGGTCTCGATTTCTAAAACTGTCTGAATCAATACCATTTTTTTTTAAAGTATCATTTATATTTTTTTATGATAAAAAGGTAATGAACGTTAAATATTTCTTTTTATCTGAAAACATGATGATTAATTTAACTTTATCTAATGCACACAACTGTTAGCAAAAATTCTGTTGATACGCCATATATTTGTTCGCCAAGAAAATGGGGTATGATCAAGATATAATGAGAACGTGCACAGAGTGGTGCAGGGGTGACAACATTGCTTATCGATAGATTTCAACATCGACCTCGTTGCATCACAATGCACGCGGATAGACATACTTTCTCAATTGGCCACTGGCATGATTTTCCTTTTACCGGATCGTAACTTTGATGGTGCGCTCATGAAAGTTACCAAGATATATCGGTTTGATACATCAAATATTTCTCATGTCATGGTCTACTAAGTTAATAGAGGCACACTGATATGTTGAAAGAGAACATATTTATAATGATATTATTAATTGTTAAATAATCCGCAACATATAGAGACAGTACATTAAACACAGTATTTAAATAAACAATTTATTTTGGACATAATCATTTAATAGATGTGTCAATAAGGGTGCATATAATTGAATTATGATATAATATTCCATCGAATTACTCATATAAATTTTGAATTTCCTGTCAATAGAGAAAGAGGGAAATATAATAACAAATAATAATACTGTTGATACATATAAATAAGATAATAAACCAAATATATTGCTTTACGAATGTATAATGTATTTATAAGATTTCACTTTAGTATGTAACATGGAAAATGTTACACACTAAAGTGGAACATATATATATATATATATATATATATATATATATATATATTT